GATACTCCCATTCCTGTTCCTGAGGGGTTTATCTGTTCTGGATTTATTGAAAGTTTTTAGAAAGCTCCATTCAATGTACTATTATAGTAATAAAGGGTCAAACTCCTATCTACTTGTTAATACATATGTTATGTATTTTATATCATAAGGTCTGGATTATGACACATATTCCCAAGTATTTCTTATGAGTTTTGGTACTTAATCCTCTTATCTGTGTGACCCAGATTTTTTTTCATTCACCCATCAATTCATTGACCCTTCCAATGCTTATTGAGAAAGTACACAAGTGGTAGCACAAAAAAATGTACACCAGGATAGCAAGTTCTTTGATTCTCTTCCCCTTGAGCAAGAGGAGGTTGGTGTTAAGGAGGTAGATCCAGGAGCCCTCCTGAATCCAGGTGGGCTCTGCAACTGCACTAATTTAGATAATCAACCACTTACTGTTATTCCTTTTTTTTTTTTTAAAGTCACGTCTTCACAGACTGGAAGCATTGGTTTCCTCTCTCTCAAAATGTTTGCTCTAGGGGATCTGAACCACCGTGTGTGATGTTAAGGGAAGCTGAATCCAACATGGGATGAGGAAGTCCAATGTAGTCACATGAAACTGTCATGTGGCAAGAGATGGCAAGGAATGTGTAAGCACGAGATGTGTGAGCAAAGAAAGTTTTCGATAGTTCCAGCCATCGCTCATCTAACTGCAGCCATGTACATGCTTCCCATCTTCCAGAATCACCAAAGATAAAAACTAAATTGTTGTTTTGAGAAAATAAGATGTAAATCAATGTAGAGAACTGGAAGAACATCGTCCTTCTGTGCATTCCACATTCTTCCCCAGCACCACAATCAAATGCATTGATTATTCTTTCATCTTCCTTATGCAGTGTCCAACTTTCATATGCATACAAGACAATGGGGGAACACCATGGGTCCAGTCAGGTGCACCTCAGGCCTCAAAGTGACATTCTTACTTTTCTATACTTTAAAGAGGTCATGTGTAGCAGATTTACCTACTGTAATTCATTGCTCTATCACTTGACTGCTTCATCCACGAGCACTGATTGTGGGTTGAAGCAAGACAAAATCCTTAACATCAGCCTTTTCCTCCATTTATCATGATGTAACCGATTGGTCCATTTGTGATGATTTTGCTCTTCTTTACATTAAAAAGTAATCCATCCAGAAGGCTGAACTCCAATGACTGGGTGGGGACCACACAAAAAGCTGTAGAAGACTCAGGGATTGATCCATTTTGCCAGGTCTCGCTGTCTTCAAGAGCTTTCTCAGAAGCACAGAGAGAGAAAAAACAAGACTTTCAAGAAAGATGAGGCACCAGTGGAGCACATGGGGTCAGTGTAAGACATGACAAAATAATAATAATAATAAAAAATAATAATAACTTATTATTATTCGTGAGGGAGGGAGGGTGTAGGATGGAGGGGGAAAATTGAGGAGCTGATACCAAGGGCTTAAGTAGAAAGCAAATGTTTTGAGAATGATGATGGCAACAAATGTACAAATGGATGGATGTATGGATTATGATAAGAGTTGTATGAGTCCCCAGTAAAATGATTTAAAACAAAACTCTACCTGAAATGGTGGCAGCACCAGAGGTGCCAGAAGCTGTAGTGCTGTAACAGAGAGAGTGAGACTACGTGGCAGAGGAGTGGATGGGCTTCCCAGCACACAGACCAAGACAAAGCCAAGGGGTCAAGTGCCTGAGAGGCCCAGGACCAGAGAGCGACTTGGCTGCTGGCTGAGGAATGGCGTTGCTGTGGCCCAAAGACTTCTCGATGTCCAATTCTGACTTGTGGTAAATCATGAACCTTCCTTAAGAAACCCCTAAAATCATGAGCTCTGTGTGGCCTGTGCCGTGAATTGTCACACCCAACAGAGAAGGAGGCTGTTGGGGGAAAGGTGGGTATCAGAATAAGATAATAAAAGGATGGGGGATGGAGGTATGTCTGGCTTCTGACTTGTGGCAATGGGCTGGGTCGGGAATGTAGAGCAAGCCAAATGAGGCTCCCATGCCCTGCCTTCAGTTGGTGCTAGGAACTGGTTTCATTGCAATGGCACTAGACTCATGGAAACAGCAAGATTTGTAAGAGAAAGAAGAGATATCGGAAAGGAAACATGATTCTTACGTGGTTTGTTTGACTGTTCTCACCTGTAACTGCTGAAAGGGACATACGGGATGTTAAAGCAGCTGAGAGGAGAAAAGCTTTTGGAGTTGCCTGCAGCAAAAACACAAAGAGCTGTTAGAAGACGTTGGCTCACTGGGTTTGCTTCTGGCCTTCCAGAGGGCCAAGGCGGTATGTAAATGATTGGGACAGCCTAAGGTGGAGCAGAAAAAGTTGAACTTGAGGGTTGTCTTAAAAAAAATGTGTTTAGTTGGCTGTATTATGGATATTGATTTCGTGTAAAACTGACAAAAATATGTGATTTAAAATGAATATTGGGAATTGTTATTACAGAGAGTTTGTAAATGTTCCTTAAGGCTATTCTTTAAAGAGTTTGCTAAAGGGAGAGTCAGGAATTGCCTAGAAGAAATGCCTTTTGTTTTAAGTCAATATAAGGCTGAGCCCCACCCAGAACCTGGAGGATAAGGACCTTTTCATTTGAAAAGATGTATAGAATCACCCAGAAGGACAGAGAGAATAGATGGTTTATTTTTGAAGGAAAGACCTGCAGTTATTTTATATATATACATATACATATTGTGGTACTTATATAATTGTTTGGCAATTAGAGGATTAAGAGTGTAGAGGTTGAGACTAGCCTGTCAATCAGCTCATAGTCAATGAGGTCTCTGCATAGGCATGACCTTCTCCTGAAAATTCTGGGAAATCCGGTATTTTCATCCTTGGAGGCAGGAGACAGCTCTCTCTCTCTCTCTCTCTCTCTCTCTCTCTCTCTCTCTCTCTTTCGCCTCACTCCCTGAGAGACATTGCAACTGACAAGACATATGGAGCTACCACTTGTACCCTGAGCTGGAGAAGCCACATGGACCTACCCTATGCAACCAGACCTGTGAAGGCGGAGAAGCCACATAGAGACCCCTGCCAGCACTGAGATGCTTACACCGCCACTGGATCCAAAGACTTTCTACCCACTGGCCAGTGATCGTCCTGCATTCAGCATCATTGCTTGGGTTTTGTGAGTCTGAAGAGGACTTTATAGATTGGTATCATATATATGGGCTAGTATTAGACTTATGGACTTGGACTGGACTGGATGCTTTCTTAATATACAATTACCCTTTATATAAAACTCTCTCTTATACACATGTGATTCTCCCTGGATTTGTTTTTCTAGGCTATCCAGACAAACATACATATACATACACATATACATATACTTGTATGAGAAAGAGACTGCTTACTTTTGAATTTTGAACAGTTGGCCTTTGGTTGCACCTGCGCTGGAAAAGTCTAAGTCCATCAGAGACAATCCATTTCTAGGAAAGTGAAAGTATGGAAAGCGCAGCAATGAAGAGACAATGAAGAGTAAACTCAAAAACATGCTGAGTTTGGACATGTTCCATTGGTACCCATTGACCTGGTTCACAGAAGCTAAAGATGCACAAGAAAAGGATGGGCTGGCTAATTAAAAATTTAAAGAGTGGTTTGGAAACTGAGCCTCTAGGTATGACCCCGTCCTCGAGGGACTAGGGTTGCTAAAAGCATATAAAGGGGCCAGATAGAAGTACAGGGAAGTGCATATAAACTCTGAAGCTGTAATTGGTACCAATTTTACCTAGCATGGATGGCTATGGCTGAGTTGACCAGAACCCAATTAAATGAGAAGAGAAAAAATTTTGACCCAATGATTTGGTATACATTGCTGTAGTGTTAATGAAGAGCCTGAACTAAACTGTGCTTTTGCTTATGATAGTGGGTGTTTCTGCATTACAACTGGAAATGACTATGCTTCAGATTGAAAAACGTGCTTGTCTCCTCCAAGGAATAGGCTGTTTTACAAGTCGGACAGGTAAGGCGGGTTGATAAAGGTATGACATGGCTGGCTTCTAAGTTTTTTTTTTTTTTTTTTTT